TTTTTCTTGTTTTTGAGAAAATGTACAGTGTGTCGTCCCGAAAGAAGCGGGGCCCGGCGTCCTAGCAACGACCGGGCCTTCCCGTGGCCAACCCCACATGAGCTGCGGCGCGTATACGGGAAGGCCCGCGGCCGATAGCTGGTCGAGGTACTGGTGGTTTAAAGGAAAAAAAGAAAAAGCAACTTAGTGCGTACTCACATTAGCTCTATCGCGTATCTGACCCCATTTGCACCCGGACGTCGATATATATAAGCGCCTTTATATCCGTAAATAAGGAAAAATTCCTGATGTGAGTACGCCCTTATATCCACTTACAGTATATCTCAATCTCAATAAGATGCGTCCTGATTTGCTGGCCCGTGTAAGAGGGGAGGCATCGTGATGGACTGGCACATGGAAGAGAACGTTTCCTGTTTGGCTGGCGCATGTACGGGTTGGACCCCAAAGGACCGCAGAAAGGAAGAACTTTGCCGCAAAACTGTTTCCAGGACTCCACAGCCTGCAGCAGATGTCCACAGAAAGGTGAAATTTCTCCTGCAAACCGTTTTCCGGGACCCCACAGACCGGCTTGGAAAAACATAGTTATCTCACTGTTTACATAGAATCAGCAGAAATGCATCATTATCATCATCATCATCATCATCATATGAGGGACGCTGAGCCCGGTTCTCAGCATGTTTGGTTTGGTCAGTCCGGGTAGACTGTGAGGGCCCCGGCCTCAATCTTCTTATTGGTAATATCAGCCTTGGGCACTGGGCTCGTTTCTTCAAAAAAAAAAAAAAAAAAGAGTCCGCACCCTGGAAAAGTCGCATGGGAGGATTCCTGACCGCAATTTTGTGCCAACTCTAGAGGGTAGGGGGGAGGGCGTGTCGTTCGTGGAAAAGTCTTGGAAAAGTCTCACGGGAGGCAGCAGCCAATAGCGACCAAGAGTGCCGCAAGAAAAAAAGGAAAAACAAAGAAAACAAGAACAAAACAAATGGGTGCCGACGGATTTCCAGAGGGTTTCCCAAGCGCATTTGGTTCTCCGCGGTGGCGTCCCCGCAAAACTGCTTTCCAGCTTTCCAAAATTCTTTGCCCCTTTTTTTTGGCCGGATGGTTTTTCCATGCTTTTTCCTGTGGGGTCGACCCCTAAGACTGATTGGCTCGGCCGATTTGCTGACACGTGGCAGAGACGATGCATTCTGTTTCTGTTTGGCAGGCCCGTGGAAGACACGAAGCAACGTGATTGGCTGGCGACTCTGCAAGGAGGTAGAAATCTTGGAAGCGGTTGGGAGCAGGAACACGTGTCCTGCAGCTATTTGATCTGTACGGCAGCACTGGACTAATCAATTTGTCAATTGAGACCAATTGGGCAAATCAACTCAGTCACTGGGCTACTCACTAAATCACAAGCAACGTCGTAATGCATCCCCGTGATCTTTGATATCAGCGGTCATTCATACACAGGCATCAACCACCCCTCTCTCTCTCCCTCTCTCTCTCTCTCTCTCACACACACACACACACACACACACACACACAACAGACAACATACAGCACGCACATAAACGCACTTGCACACCGAGCCACACCCAGAGAACGTGAGAAAAGGGAAGAAGAAGAAGAAGAAGAAGAAGAAGAAGAAGAATGGAGTTTGACTTGCCGACAATTCAAGCGTTAGAGAAACTGTTCAGCACAGAACCATCTGAGCAGGATGAGGAGGAGGAGAGCGAATTTGCCGGCTTTCTGGGAGAAAAGGAGGAGGAGAGGAAGAAGAAGGCGGAGGAGAGGGCGAGGTTGAGGGAAGAGAGGAGGAAGAAGAGGGAGAAGGAGAGAGCGGAGGTTGCCAAGACTGTGGAAGGTCGCGATCCCGACGACGAGGGGTTGAAGGAGCCGGAGTACGAGTTTGTGTACAAGCAAGCTGTGACCGCATACGATGCATATTTCGGACTTAGCGAAAAGAACCCGTCATCGCTTTGCTGCGAAGACTTGGTGCTCAAGGTGAAGCTTCCCGGAACCTCCAGTTTATCGGAGCTGAAGCTGGATGTCGAACCCACCTATGTGAAGCTGAAATCACCCATTTACAGACTGGCAATCTATTTACCCTACAAAGTCGAAAGCGAGAAAGGATCAGCCAAGTGGGACGCACTCACTTCCACGCTATACATCACCATGCCGTACAGAAGACCCGAGCCCGGGGAAGAAGAGGATGGCGATGGAAGCTGATGAGACTGGATGGCTATGGTGGATGGTGATGATGGCAGTTATGATGATGATGATGATGATGGCAGTTATGTGATGACGTGGCAGTGGCAAACGGTGGTAGCGTCGATGATGAGGATGATAGCGATAATGGCAGTCATGTGATGACGTGGCGCTCGCTGATGGGGAAGCGTTGATGATGATGATGATGATATGGTTGGTCATGGCAGTTGTGTGATGACGTGGCAGTCGCTCATGGTGGTTGCATCGATGATGATGGCGATGGTGTCAGTTATGTGATGACGTGGCGCTCGCTGATGGGTCTCTCTCTGATGATGATGATAACGGTATGGTGGTAATTTCTATGGTGGTGATGATGATCTGCTGGGACAGCAGTTATGTGATGACGTGGCACCTTGCTGATGATGATGATGATGATGATGAGAGAGAGAGAGAGAGAGAGAGAGAGAGAGAGAGAGAGAGAGAGAGAGAGAGAGAGAGAGAGAGAGAGAGAGCTCAGTTGTGTGGCACTCGCTCATGACGGTAGCATGGGTGATGGTGGCGGAGGTGGCAGTTACGTGATGACGTGGCGCTCGCTGATGGGTGTATCTCTGATCATGATGATGATGGTATGGTGGTGATGATGATCTGGTGGGAGAGCAGTTATGTGATGACGTGGTAGCTTGATCTTGATGAATATGATGATGATAAGATGATGCTGATGCTGATGATGATCATCGATGGTGATGGAGTTCTCTCATTATGCACGGGTTTTCTAACCATTTTTCCGACATGGCACTCGATGATGGCATTTTTGGGTTTTTCGGTTTTCGAACCACGTTCCTGACATGCCACTCGAGCATGACATGGTGATTCTTTTTTTTTTTTTTTTTTTTTTTTTTTTTTTTTTTATTTTTTTAAGTGAAAGGCTGAAGACATTTCCAGACCGAATATCCGTGTTTTAAGGAAACAAAACGGCATCTGAAGTAGTTGAAGAATGTGATAACGAGAACAGGAATCGAGAATATTCGAGATTCGATAAGCGATCCGTCTCCCCAGTGAAAAACAAGTTCAAAAAACATGTCAAGACTCAAAAGTGAGGAGCTGAAAGACATGCTCTGTGTCTGCCTGCATCTTTGTGTCCTTCTCTTCCTCCTCCTCTTCCTCCTGATGAGGTCAAATAAGTTCACCAAAAAAAAACAAGCTGAGCATTCGCGCAATGAAGTAATCAATGCACTGACCTGCCTACGCATTGACCAACCAATTAATCCATTGATTGATTGATTGATTGATTGATTGAGCAATTAATCAATCAATGTACCAAATCAAAATCAAATCAGATTGACGTGTAACTGATATCTGCTTCTCGCCGGAGAAAGGGCATGACGTCTTCAAATGCGATATTTTCAACCCGTGCAACCTCTTCCATGAGAAGGTTCCATKTAAAGTCCTTGAGCGAGTTTTCCCCAAATTTAGCCCAAGAAACACTGGAGGCAATTTGGTCAACATCAGCTTCAGAGGACTCGAGAAGCGCGGAGCGTATTTCTGGATCGATCTGGGCATTGCTCTTTCTTTCCTCTGCTGCAACAAGTTCAGCCTTGATCTCTTCCCTCTGATCGTGCTCAGGCCTGGTATCCTTCGGCAATTCCTTCTTTACGCCGATGGCCTATACAGTGACCGTGAATCTGGCCTTAACGTTCGGGAAGTGCGGAGCCTTGAAGTCAGGTGGAAGACGACCATGAAGGTCTTACTCTCTTCCTGGGCCATGCCAGTACCTGTAATCTCTTCGACAAAACGTTTCCATGGATAATCTGGTCGTTCCTTAAGCTCGAGGTCGTACATATCGGCCTTCGTGCCTTGAATAAGTTGCCCTGCCTTGGGTCCTTCAGCATACTTTCCCTCAAAATTAATCTTCACAGTGTGCCCCAGCTTGGCTCCGGAGCCGGTGAAGTTTATGCGTTCGAATTCATGGGTCTTCTCCCTTTTCTCCTTAAAATGCTCTCTCCACTTCCTCATCTGTGACCTCATGTTTTGTGGCTTTCACCTTGATTACTCCCCCTTTATAAGGTCCTAAAACCACCTTCACTTTCTGTAGGGTTCTGCCCCTGCTATACTCACCTGTATCTTCAGTTACCTTCGGCTCCATTGCTGTGGTTGTGGTGGGCGAGGTCGAGCTTTGTGCTGCCGGTTTCTCTCCACTAGAGGCAAAGCACACTCCTCCAGATGTCATCACTCTCCCCTTTCTCCTTCCCCTCTTCTCTCCTTGCCCCTCCCTTCTTGCAACTCCCCTTCCACTAGAAGACAGGCACAAACTCTTTCCGGATGATTCTTCCAAAGCTCCTCCGCGCTTCCATCTCTGCCAACTGCTTGTTCCCACAAATAACTTAGAGCACCTCTCTCCCGCACTTCCTCCCCATAGTCTTTCACAACTTGCAACAGATGCGAAATCGAGTCCCGGGAAAAACTTTTGCTGACATGYCACRTGCATAATTGTCTCCCCTCGACAGCAGTTCCTTTGCGATCGACAATGCACCGACTGCATCAAAGCTGATGACGATGAAGTCATACTTTTTGCACACATCGGCACTGGAGACCCCACTGCCGTCCTTGCCACTGCTCCTGCCATTATTCAGAAGCGCCTTTTCTCTCTCTGCCAGTATTCTCGCAAAGTGTGTCTGCGGTGCTGTGATGTTGGTTGGTCGCTCGCAGGGGAACTCAGATTTCTTTCCTGCACATCAGTGAGGTGAGCCTTCCTGACCGAGTTCCCTTCGTCTGTCATGTACGCCTCTATCCCCTCTTCTTTCATGTGTCCGCTTTTTTTTCTCGCCAAATTACACGTGTACGCACCCCGCATTGTCTCTATTCCGCCCCCCCACCCCCATCCCCTTCCGCCTGTCGTGCACACATCCCTATATCCCCTCCTCTTCTACGTGTCTGCTTATCTTTCCCGTCGCATTACGCGTGTGTACGTAACCCCTCAACCCCGCCCCGCTCTCCTCCCCTTTTCTTCAACCTCGTTCTCCACGTTCATCTCTTGCCTTCACACCACTCCCCAGCGCCCCATCGCCGCATCGGCCCCCCAGTCCCCCCCCCCTGCGCCGCCATCGATTTGCTATGCCCACTTCCTTGGCTATTCCCTTCCTTCACCGTCCATACCATAGCTTTTCACGTCTGTCCACTCTGCACCCTCCCAATACAAAGAGTCCTCGTCGTGCTCCTCCTTTTCCCTTCCAGTTCCCTCTGCCAGTCTCTTGCGCGCTCTCCTTTTCGTTACGCCTACCGGTAGTGTTCCCGCACATCCATGTCCACGTGGAAGTATCTGACTGGTTTTGGGTTTTCTAACCGCTTTTCTGACACGGCACTCGATGATGGCCGTACCTTAAATGCAGCTGATGATGACGTTGATGATGATGAAGATGATGGAAGGAGCAGCATGTACAGGTGCGAAGGTGTACATCGACAATGATTTCCATGGTCAATATGATGATTAAAAAAAAAAAAAAAAAAAGAGAGCAAGGGTGGGTAGAGTATCTGCTTTAGGGTTCAGGGTTTCGTGTTTAGGATTTAGGTTTTAGGGGGGTTACGGTTTAGGATTTAGGGTTTTGGGGGGGTAGGGCTTAGGGTTTAGGGTTTAGGATTTTGGGTTTAGGGTTT